AGTTTTCACCTCATTGCTCAAATAAATAATGAGTTTTTTCTGATGCATTTTTTGATCTGAGCAAAAAAATATGGTTTATACTTTTCTGCGTCATAGTTAAAGGCTATTCTATAGCATTCTGTAGCATTGTCCTTTTTATTGAACACTGAAATTGAAGTTTCAAAATTAAAGCAAAAAATATTATGCTCAAAATAATAACTTATATGTTACGTATGTGGTAAAAATAACGCAAAGTTTCGAGAGAGAAAAAAAGAAGAAGAATGAATACATTTATAATATTTTAAACTCTCGTGGGAAGTATTTCCTTTGTGAGCTCAGTGCGTGCATAAAGTATCTCTAGTTTTTATTTTTGTTGTTGTTGTTGCAGTCCTTTGATTTTTTTTTCTTGCACGGAACGATTTACTAATATGTAAACAGTGTTCCGTTTTCATGAACGATCGAAAATGTATCTAATTAATTCCTGATATAAAAATTTAAAGGTCTGACGTAGGTAAACAAGAGACCCATGGGCCACATCGCTCACCTGAGAAGCTTTGAACATTCTGTTCTTCACAAGATTTCCCCCTTTCTGATTTTATTATTAACTTAATGGAAATCAGTACACTAGTATTACATAAACCGACAGAAATATTTAATACTCTGACAGTTGTAATTTATTCAAAAATAATTGTCGTTTCGTATTTATTTATTTAATTATCCAACTGTTTAAAACCGAAATGCTGAAATCATGAATGACTGTTAAATAAAATACATTTTTATATATTAGTAATTTATCTCTTTGTAATATTTTCACGGGGGTGGGGGTGGCAGACGGGGTTAAATGTGATGTCTTATAATAATCTATTTTTTGTTCTTTTTCTCTTTTTACACGAAGCTTATCAAATAAAATCAGAATACCCATCATACTGTAAAATTCTTCATTTCAAAACCCGACTAAACGTATGTATATATCTGTACATTAATTAATAGTCGTGGTATTTGACTATACATTGTACATACAATGTAGATCGATCTTTACACCGGCATTCAGGTTTATTAAAAGAGAACTGAAATATCTTAGATAAAATAAAAAGTACGTAATTTATAAAACAAATGATATACAATTATTCATGATTTACTCGTAAGCTTTTCTTACATGACATTCATGAGAAGACAACCAGATCTGTTCTGTTTTTTTTTTTTACTGTTTACAGCTAGAAATTCGGATTTACCGATAAAAGATGAAATCTGCTGATTTATAATTTGTATTCATTCAATATTTATAGAACCATTTTATTTGAAAGAAAACAATAAAATTCAGTCGTAATTTTCATGTGTAATTAAGCCGTGACGTATAGCAAAACAGGTTTTCAGTTGCCATGCAACTGTAGCCCGTGATCGCTGTTCCAAATGACTTTGATCACATTTGAAAGGCTGAACGAAGATATCAATACATTTTTAAGGGTGTATCTCCAAACATATTTAACAAAAGATTTTAAAAAAATATATATATATAATTAAGCATTTATTTAAACTAACTTAAGATTGAACGTTTCAACAAAAAAGAAAGACTGTACTAGTAATTTAATTTAACCCCCCCCCCCACGTTTCTTAACACTTATTCGTCAGTGCATGTGAATTAAAATTATAAAATTCATTTATTTGACAATAATGAGCAACAATTTTTTTGTATTAAAATGTATAAAATGACACATCGTTTCAAAACTTTCTTTCGCGTACAACCAAAATTGAAAGATTGTACTTGTAATTTAATTACCCCCCCCCCCCCCCCCGTTTCAAAACATGTATTCGTCAGTGCATGTGAATTTGAATTTAAAAATCCATTTATCTGACAATAATAAGCAACAAGTTTTTTGTATTAAAATGTGTTAAATGACACATCGTTTCAAAAGTGTATTAAATGACACATCGATTCAAAGCTTTCTTTCGCGTACTTTAAATGGAAAGACAAGGGCGGAGTTCTGATATATTTTTGCATTAAATGAAAAAAAAAATATACCGATATCTTTATTTGAGAAAAAATATTTAGGAAGCCATGATCGCATTGAAAGTATATTGAATTCAATACCCTTAAAATTTGACTTCGACCGATTTTCAAATTAGAGACAAAGACAGCAAGAAGAAATTCGACATGAGAAGTTATGCGGACAAGCGAAATCAAGCAAAGGAAAGGAACATTAGTGTTGGGTATTCAGTCGTGATGGAAAATGAAAACGGGGGTAAGATGCAGTTATACTTTTCATATGAGCCAAAAATCGTTACTGACAAGAAAGTATCCATGGTCACCGTTGACAGGAATGTGACAGGCAACATGTCGCAGTTCAAGAAAATCAATTCAGCAGCGAATTGTAGTTGGAGAACGGAACAAGGATTCGGGAGATAAATCATGAGGAAGTTGAGTTAGAGATGCACAATCCAAAATCTGTTTTAGGAGATAGTGTTATGAAACAGTGCAAGGCAAGTCCATCCATGAAGAACACATTGCAAAAACTGTTGTGGAAACCTTTGGCAAAGCCAAAGAACAAAACAGCTTCCTGTAAATCTTAAAGATTTTGTGTTAAACTGACAATATGTTAAGTTGTGGCCATGCTATGAAAGGAGCACAATAACCCCCAGCAGGTCACTGGACTAAGGCTGGGGGTGGGGGGGGGTAAACCTAAGTTACAGTGTGCAATGTCTATAGTAATTCAATCTTTGAAAAAATAGAGGGCTTAAATATTTGTAGGCTGTAAATTTTTTCGGAGATTTTTGAAATTAACTTAAAGAAGTTAACTAAATTATCACTGTCTGAATATATTTAATATGTTAATTATATATATTTATGGACTGATTATATGTACAGTAACTATTGTTTATTATTATGTATGGCTATCATGAGTTGCATGTTTAGAAAAATAAAAGAACTTGTTAAAACTGAGATACCTTCATCACGAATGAGTTTTATTCCTCCCCCGTTTGTTTGTCTTCCATTTCTAATTCTTTAAATTAAGTTACATAAAATGAACTCGTCACACGAATTATCTGCGTTAGGAGAAAAACTCGGGTAATTTGCATTAATTACACTTTCATTGACTCCATTGCTGAGGAAAAAACAGACAGATATCTCTTGCCATGTTTCTAATTCTTTTGATAATCATCTTATCTCTCATTCTATTTGTAAAAATGTCATAGCCCACATACACTTACAGAATTGTGATTGCGTAACTAAAAAAATCTTTATTTTGGTAGTCATGTTTCATTTATAAAATTTTAACCTCTTGTGGGTTGTCTAACATTTGGTATGAACAAAGTTCCATTGACAGAAATTGGATACTTGCAGCAGTGAAGCAAAGATTAAGAGACCAGTTTATTCAAAAATGACATAGTGATATTAATAACTCATCAAAGGGTCATATTTACAAAATTTTTAAAATTGCTTTTGGATTTGAAAAATATCTAAGTATTTTACCAAGTAAGCTCCAAAAAATATTAATAAAATTTAGAACCTCAAACCACCACCTCCCAATTGAAACTGGTAGATGGTCAAATATTCCATTAGGTGAAAGAGTGTGTAAACTGTGTAATACAGGGCAAATAGCAGACGAATTTCACTTCATTTTAGAATGCAAAACATTGAATAATGTCAGAAAGAATCTTTTACAATCCAGATATTGTAAAACACCAAATACACTTAAGTTTTGTGAAATTATGTCAACGAAAAATTTAAAATGTTTAAAAAACCTTTGTATATTTATATCTAAAATAAACGACACCGTCTGTCCTCCATAAGTTAAATGTTACCATATCCTCTTTTCTTTTATTTTTATTCTTTTTTCATTGTATGTTTATTGCTATACTTTGCACATATGTTATGCCTCTCATTTATGCTATATCGTATCATAATTATATTTATTATTTTTCTTACAATTATGACGACTAATTTATATACTGTACCTCATGTACCACTAATGTTGGTGTGAGTGAAATAAATGAACTTGAACTTGAACTTGGTAGATGTTCATTTGATACGGACTTGTGAAGAAATACAAGTGAACTGGTGCAGTACTACTTTTGTTCAATTCATCGTTTTATTATTTAGGTTACAAAGAATATACGAATAAAATACAAGTACAACATTGATTTGTATCCACCAATAAGGTGAAGTTTGAGTGAAGACAGAACTATGAATGTTAAGTGCTTACCAATGTTTTTTTGACAAGTTATTCAAAGTCGAATTTTGTTTCTCTTTATAAATTATGCATAACTATTGATTACTTTTGGAGAAAATCCATCATACATGTCCAAGAACAAATTCGATGTCGATATTGACAATATTATTTCGATTCGTATCGATATCCATCATGATGAAGACTATAAATTTTAAATCTTTCGTACCATATATGAAAATTTGTGCTATGTCGATGTCGTCCATATCTACAATGCCATGACGATACCGGATCGATATCGTTCCTATTTTTAGAAATTATTTTCATGATGAGGTTTAACATCATTTTACAACATCACAAAATATGTCAAATTCATTCATTATTAGCATGAATATGAAATTAAATTATGATAAGGAAAGGGTTAGTGGTTGTTATTGTTTTGGATGAGGTTCAGAGTAAGATGTAGGGTGAGGTTGAAAGTTTTTAAACATGTTTTAAGAATCATTATTTGATATCGATACGATATCGTCGATATCGACGATTTCGATGGCAATATATCCTTAAAATAAAGTAATTTAAAAGAAATACACCTACAAAGAAACAGGGACACAATATACAATGAATCATTATATAAAAGTAGAACGTAAATGATTAGAATAACCTGAAAAATATCTTTTTAAAATATATTAGTAAATATAATTTTGTATTTGATTTTTTTGATTACTGTGACATTTAAACATTTCAAGCTGTAAGAGAAACCCGAAATCATGTCAACGAAAATATATAAAATACCATACAATCACGAGTACACAAAATTACTTCACAATTATTTATCTACGACATTAAATCCCAACAAACCCGTTGTGTGTCCGTAGAACTCGAAAGCTGACCCCACAAAATATGAAGTTTTGACAGTAATACTTGTTGAATCTAAACGACTTTGAAAAACCATTTGTTTATACTTGCAATACAGTGATAACCGCATGGATCGGGTTTCAGTATGTACGTGAGGTTGTACAACTCAATGTTATCCGCAGCCATGTTGTCTTCGTAAAACGTAACGTACAAAGGGTCACGGGATACAGACATAGAACATCTCGTTTTGAAATACTTTCTGTATTCCGTATTCAATCCATAACAGTACACATCTGAATTAAGTCTTATAATCTCCCCAGACTTATTTAGTCCTATGTCAAACTTCTCGCTAATTGGATCGTTGTTAAAACTCTCAATAACGGCAGTATATGTTGTTGATTTGTTTTCTGATGATTTGTATATCCCAACTAAATTGTTTTTTCCCAAGAATTCGGTCTGTACGTTGTTGTCCGGTATATGGCTTAAATAAATGTTCATTTTTTCGGATACCGAATTTGAACGCAACGTCAGTCTAGGCAGCCACTTCCACTGGTCTTCAAACAGAACCATTTCAAAGTTCACTGAGTCATCAATTGAGTCTGAAACTAAAATTGAAAATGTATTTTTCAAATCAAAAAAATATTAAATATATGTAAAATTACTGCAAGGAAGGTTTTCGAATAAAATTCATACTATTTTATTTCATGCAATTTTATATCTACCATGGCACCTGATCCCACCTCTGATGTTCTGGAGGTCCATGTTTGCTCTTTTCATATTTTGTATTGTTTTATGAGCTTTGATATTGACTACTGCCTAGTAAACACGAACATCCAAAACATCAGATATGGTATCAGGTGCCATGGAGGAGTGAAAATCCCCTGCCGACCGGTGAAATTATATTCTCTGTCTGGAATCTGGATGTTATATTCGGATCCCAATGATTCGTGCCATAATCATCTACATGTAAATTAATATTGCTGTTATGAAATCACTGACGGGGTTCATGGGCCTGGTACAAAAATGGAGAAAAAAAAATGACATCAACATCGCGCGTTTCAATACAAGTCTTACATATATAAGGAAGACAGAATTTCGTCCCGTGATTTGGAAAAGAAAAATCTTTATCATGTTTAAACTCGGGCGTGACAACAAATTATTGACCTTTTTACTAGAAAGACATTTGTGAGAGATTTTCATAAATTGCATGATAATATATATGTTCCTGTATCTTAAATATTTTGATGAAAACGTTATAAACACAGTAATTATATGACCTTTTTTTATTGATTATATAGGAAAATCTTTAACATCAAGGATATTTAGAGTTATATCTTTAATTTTTGTCAGTAAGAACATATTAGCAATAAAAACCATAAAATAACTCCGACGCTACCTTTGTTAAAACTGATAGATTTTCCGGCAAATTGTGCTATTGTATCTGGAGGGCATTTAAATCTTCCATGCATAGTAACTCCCTGGTCATACTTCCATTTCGATATATTCAAATATAAGGTCCTTATGTTTGGTTTTCCAGGAACCCGTATTACTTTGGAAGCCTGTAATCAAGAAACAATTTGATTTGACTTTCATTTTTTCAGAAAACGAAACTGCCCTTAATGGACATAATAAAAATACAATCCATTCTTAATAATATAAAAAAAATAATGATTACAACAATGCAATTTTGAAAACCACTGATCTTTCCTTGGAAGCTTACAAGTGTGAGAGTCTTGCTTTTCATGCTGTTGATTGGAGTGTAAAAAATGTTAATATTTTATTTCTGTTTTTTTTTAAATAAATATTCACAAATTATTGTTTAGAATGATCGACTTCTTCCCCTTTAATTTAAGAGAAATGCATTTTACCAGCAAAACTTTGTGTCATTAATAATAATAATCAAAGATTTACTTACATAACGACGGCTGTTTATAACTAACCACATGACAAGAACAGCAGAACTATATCTACAAATGAACATGGTACTATTCAAATTTCGACCATGCACAGATCTACAGGATTATTAAACCCAGAATTAATCTGATATTTTATTCCGTATCCAAAGATATTTAAATGTTCTGGCGGAAGGGCATGAATTTTATATATGCAAAATATTATATTAATAGTAATAATTGTATCCTTTCATAATTATATAATTGAGCCATTTAAATAGGAAGAGGTGAGCAGGGAAATGCCAGAGTTGTATCTCTGGGTTAAAAGGCCAAACACCACAAACCTTATTTAAGCTATTGACATTTAAAATTCACAATATATGATTAATATCTCGTTTGATTTCTCATTATTTAAGATGCAGTCCGCCGAAAAAGCAGGCAGTATTGTATTAAAAGCGGCACATCGAATGTGACGAATATTTGATATTTTATTGAAAACAATATCAATGTAGTCCAAATGGAATAATGTAATCGAAGATTTGTTTGAAAATTGCTTATTTAGTAAAATATCCTTTTGTTTCGTGTTCTTGAATTCCCCTATATAAACCATCTAATTTAGGTCAGAAACAAAGAACTGTAATTTCCAATACATTTTTAACAGGACTATAATTCATGTTGAAGTAAATCTAGAAATATTTCGTCTTTCAGTTTCAAAAATAAAATCGGTGGGCAAAACACTTTTGATAGTAGTTTTCTGGCAAAATATATAGATGTTTTTATGAAATTTTGCGATGTAAGAGTTATCTCCCGTGGCATCGGTAATTCTGCTAAACACCTTACTATCGGAACCCTAGTAAAATATTTAGAATCTATACACAAAATGAAATTATTAAACAAAAAATTACTACTTTATTTTCAAAATAGAATTCATTTTCGCTCCCAGACGTTATATTTAGATTAAAATTGGCAGTATTATTTAGGTTGAATCCACGTTTCCATTGATGTATCAGTGACGTCATATACCTGACTAATATTGTGTCACAATTAAATAGTTACAGTTTTCCAAAGAAGTTTGTAAATGCTTTGCATAAAAGCGCAAATAAAACGATTAAAAATAAATAATTTCTCTTTTTCTGTTCAATTACTCTTCAGAGTGCATTATCCTACATGTTAAATAATCATGTATTTTTATATAAAATGTATTTATTCACGGGCGGCGTCTCAGCTAGTAGTCCGTTGTGATAAGTAATTTTGTACATGTCCGAGAACTAATTTTTTAACCTTGATCTGAGAAAAAGTATTTTTTTTATTTAAAGAAAGAGACATTTAAAAAAATATGTTGTCTGAACATAATGTCATCTCCAACACGTACACGGCTGCACAGTCCATTCCTTATTTTTTTAAAAATAAATTTCTACGCACTGATAGATAATTTGGTAAATTTACTGTGAAGTATAGGTAATGAAAAATGTTGTATTATAGCCATCAAAATTATTTCGGAATATGAATTGGTAAACTTTCCATTTTGCATACTGGTATGTATTTACAATGTACGGAAGATAAATACATTGTTTAAAATATAAAAGTACTCTGAACGAATTCTGTATGAAATTTTGTTATTTATTTTCTAAAGAAAAAAATGATATACCCCAACAAAAACTAGCTAGTCTGAAACTCTACACTGATAAGAAGACGGTGTAATATAGAAGTTAACGCCTTTATCAAGAAATTAAAGACCTAAAACAAATCGCGTGTATTTTATTGTTATATCTTGTTGTTTAGAGAATTCAAATACTTTTAGGATATTTTTGTCTTCCTGACACGCCAAACCTTTATGCCATTAAATACATGAAATAAAAAAAAAATCAAATGTGTCCAAGACATTTCTCATTGCCTATTTTTTGAAAATAATTGTTTTCTAGTACATGTACGAATTTTTAAAACTGAGAGTCGGAATTAGAATAGTCCTCACTTTGCATGCCTCTATTCTTTTCCCAAGTGAATTGCGAATGATTTACCTCAAGTCTTATCAGTACTGTTACTTTATTTTCATTCTGTATAGAGTACATATTAACGTAAATGAAATACATGTACATTGAGTTTTGCTAGAATTGAAGTATTATACAACAATTACATAGTTACAGGAAGTGGATGCATATTTTACATTTAACGTATGCAGTGACAAATGTTCTTTCGTAATAACTTGAAAAAAAATGAATAGTGGTAAAGCGTATTTTTTTTTTCATTTTTACAACATTTAAAGCTCTCTCCGGCCTCAAACAGCGGTCTGTCCTTGTACATACTATATTTACAATATTTTTAGAAATCGGTGGCGAGTTCAGAATTTTTTTTAGTGTGATACGTGTCAGAAGCAAGCAGCACAAACTTGAAAAACATATATTGTGTACCGGGTATAAACATGTATATGAATGGAGGGGAAAAGGGGGGAGGCTTGGTTAAGGTTCTTTCCAAATACACGACTCTCTCCTCCTACCTTTTAAGTGGCCCCCGGTTTGCACAATGTATTTCCTAAGGTTGGTTTTTCGTTACTTTTACATATAGATATTTAATAACTCAAATGGAACATTTCAAAATTAGGAACCCCCCCCCCCCAAAAAAAAAAAAAAAAACTCGACTCATGAATCGTAAATAGTTTATAAAACTTAACATCTCAGGTTACCTGCATGCAGTCTATCAGCTTTGTATCCGATTCCATGCTTCTTTTGATACAAGATTAAACAAAAATTAAAACTGCATTTTTTGACAGATGGTCTACTCAAGCATAGATCAACCACAAATTTAGCTGCAGAACTGTGGCTCTCCGAAAAAATATATGTTGATAGACCGGAGAGCTACAGTGACATCCATTGAAAAACCTGTATATTTATTGCGCACAAAAAAGTGCGCTGTTTGATTTATTTCTCCATGTTATTAAAACTGTCATCTCAAAATATTACTAACCGTGTGTTTCTAACATATTCTTTCACTGTTTCTACAAGATCGAAAATTAAGCCCATTTATACTGCCATTTTGGTTTGCAAGATAATTCGGTCCAACACGCTTCGTACAAGTATCAACCACGTGCACGAGAGTACTTGATAGAGGAGTAAGGACTTTTTTCTGAAATTTAAATTTTTTGCAATTGAGGTAAGAATTTGAAGAATTAATACAGAACCGAGCGCACTTTTTTGTGCACAACAGATATATAGTTTTTTCAATGGAAAGCACTGTAGCTCTCCGGTCTATCAAGATATTTTTCAGAGAGCTACAGTTCTGCAGCTACCACAAATTATGAAAATCACCCTCCATTAGATCACTAAAGTTAAAGATTTATATACTAGTACATCGCCTTAATTTTTTGTAATTAATCCTTCCTATTGATTTATCATAAACTTACAATACTCAAACGAAGCCCACTTATCTTTTGATATATATTTTTCAGTTACACCAGTCCACTTGCGATCATTTATAAATAGGAAAGAAAAAAAATATACAGTGTGTTAATTTTTTAGACCCGGTTCTTTGCGGCTCAACCCTATTCCGAGTGTCCGAATATCAGGCGTTAACAAAATTTTAATTAAATGTACCGCTCGTATTATGATTTAAAATAAATATTTTAAACATACATAAACTCACCCTAGTAAAGTTTAAAAAGAGGCTTCACAAAATTCCACATTTTTTCGTATTTTGTATCTTAAAAAATATTCATGCTAACCTAACTAAAAAGAATTGGTGTTTTACTAAAACAGTGAAGATGCAATAATGTAGCCCCCTCCCCCCCCCCCCCCCCCGGAGGGGGTACTCTCTCCAAAAAAAAATAAGATTAAAGATTAAAAAAAAATCGGAGAGGGCTACGTTACTGCAGCTAAAAAATAAAACATGAACAGTTATTCGATAAATTGAGATTTAACATTCCCTCTGAATTAAAGAAGATACCTCCCCACCCCCACCCCCCCCCCCAAAAAAAAAAAAATTAAAATGCTCAATCACTTTATGCTGTATTAATTTAGCTGAGGAAACCAACACTCGGGAATTACTAAAAAAAAGGAAATCAATAAGTTTAATGCATTATAATAATATATTCAAAACAATTCAAAATTAATCGCATGTTTTAGTACATGTAATTGTGTTTTTATTCTCTCTCTCTCTCTCTCTCTCTCTGAAATTGTATTTGTCTATATAATGTTTTCAAAGGTCCACCACACACATGTACTAGTACATATTCCATAATGTAAATGGAACTCACACGAGTAAGTAAGGAAGAGGTCGATATTAAAAAAAAAATTGGATATGTACTCTAACGGATGGGGGTTTGGGTGGGGATGGATCGAGTTTCACCCATTTTTTAAAAAGAAATAGTAATTTGCTCTAATATAATACATGTATTTCGTTTATATTTCTTAAAATCAAAGACGACTTTCCCCTTAATATATAATTTCCATTTTTTTTTTTTTGGTTCCTTCTTCTTGAAGCCGAAAACAATAGTGAGAATTATCAAAACTATCACTTTTAATATATTGTTTTTGCTTCTTGTTTTTAATTTCTCTCGCTCACCCCCCCCCCCCCCCACCCACCCCATTTTGCGCTTTAGGCAAATTTCTACTGCAGTTTTAAATAAATTTTCAATAATTGTTTTATATTTACCTAGTCCCGAAGATTTC